ATTTCACACAAAAAAAGGTATTTGCATTAACAACATGTTTTGCTATACACATGTTTATTCCCTTTGTATGTATTGGAACAAATATAAAACAGAGGCAGAAAAGCAAATATGACATAATGTCACACAAAACCCCAAAAATGGGCTGGACAAAAGTATTGGCACCCTTAACTTAATATTTGGTTTGCACACCCTTTGGAAAACATAACTGAAATCAGTCGCTTCCTATAACCATCAATAAGCTTCTGACACCTCTCACCCGGAATTTTGGACCACTCTTCCTTTGCAAACAGCTCCAGGTCTCTCTTATTGGAAGGACAAAACCATTTCCCAACACAATTTTAAGATCTCTCCACAGGTGTTCAATGGGATTTAGATCTGGGCTCATTGCTGGCCACTTCAGAACTCTCCAGCGCTTCATTGCCATCCATTTCTGAGTGCTTTTTGACGTATGTTTGGGGTCATTGTCCTGCTGGAAGACCCAGGATCTTTGGACGCAAACCCAGCTTTTGACACTGGGCCCCTACAGTTGCGACCCAAAAATCCTTTGGTAATCCTCAGATTATCATGATGCCTTGCACACAGTCTCAAGGCACCCAGTGCCAGAGGCAGCAAAACAACCCCAAAACATCATTGAACCTCCACCATTATTTTACCGTAGGTACTGTGTTTTGTTCTTTGTAGGCTCATTCCGTTTTCGGTTAAACAGTAGAATGATGTGCTTTACCGAAAAGCTCTATCTTGGTCTCATCTGTCCACAAGACGTTTTCCCAGAAGGCTTTTGGCTTACTCAAGTACATTTGGCAAACTGTAGTCTTGCTTTTTTATGTCTCTTGTGTCAGCAGTGGGGTCCTCCTGGGTCTCCTGCCATAGCGTTTCATTTCATTTAAATGTCGACGGATAGTTCGCGCTGACACTGATGCTCCCTGAGCCTGCAGGACAGCTTGAATGTCTTTGGAACATGTTTGGGGCTGCTTATCCACCATCCGGGACTATTCTGCGTTGCAATCTTTCATCAATTTTCCTCAATCCGTCCACGACCAGGGAGATTAGCTACAGTGCCATGGGTTGCAAACTTCTTGATAATGTTGCGCACTGTGGACAAAGGAAATCTTAGTTCTCTGGAGATGGACTTGTAACCTTGAGATTGTTGATATTTTGCACAATTTTGGTTCTCACAGGTCCTCAGACAGTTCTCGTCTCCTCTTTCTGTTGTCCATGCTTAGTGTGGCACAGACAAGACACACAATGCAAAGGTTAAGTGAAGTCGTCTCTCCTTTTTATCTGCTTTCAGTGTTAAGCGTGATTGTGATTATATTGCCCACACCTGTTACTTGCCCCAGGTGAGTTTACAGGAGCATCACATGCTTGTAACATTCTTTTTTATCGCAGTTGTGAAAGGGTGCCAATACTTTTGTCCAGCCCATTTTTGGAGGTTTGTGTGACATTATGTCGAATTTGCTTTCTTTCCTCCCTTTTTTTGTTTTTGTCCCAATACACACAAAGGGAATAAACATGTGTATAGCAAAACATGTGTTAATGCAATACGTTTCGTGAGAAATACATGATTTCCTGGAGAAATATCAAGGGTGCCAAACAATTTCGGCCATGACTGTATAGTGCTAACACAGTAGTGTAAAATTAAAAAAAAAAATTCCTATTCAAAGTAATGTCAAACAAAATGCATATACTGTATACATTACAGTATACATACTACTGGCCAGTTCTAGTGGCATAATGTCTTGAAACTAAGAATTTGAGAGAATTGGATGCAAATTGTTTAACTGCCAAACACAATTAATATTTTCTTCACAGGGAAAATTTTACTATAGATCTGATTAATTGCTCTGTTCCAGTCTTTGTACCAGGACACATGGTTGACTTATATCCTGTTTTTTCCCCGTTACAATGTTGAGAAAATGGGGGACATATTGCAAAATATTCCAGTTAAACAAATGTATTCTGTAAGCAAGAGAACTGTTCCCATTGCCTGTGAGAGAAAGACATATGTACACAGCAGCTATCTGCTGCTAAACAGAAGGAATTGTTTTCTATGGAACTTATTGATTTCCAAAAAAGCAATAGAAAAAGTTGGGATAGGAACAAACTTAACCTAACTATAACTATATTAAACACCACCATTGTAAGAGAACATGTTTCAGCAAGTTTATCTTGGTTTATCTCACCCATTGCCCTTTGAGTGTTTGCTAAGAAATAACTGCTGGAAGTTTAATTGGTTACAACATAATTACTTTTAAATTAATCATATTCATGTTAGTACTTGATAATACATTTGTCTTGCACCACTCTACACCTCTTTATTTGTATCATATTTACAATTATAAATATATTTATATTAAAAAAAAAGCTGTGTGATGAAAAATTAACACATACTTCCTTATCTGTTACTTTTTAATTACACATTTTTCTTTTTATATAGAAAACTTTAAAGCTGAGTTCTATGTAGACAAGACATCATTTACTGTAGAAAAGTGGTGTTAAACAACCATGAAACCAGTTTAAACACAAATAGTATAAATATCAATATACTGTATATGTCTTTATATTATCTTTCTGTTACCTTAAAAACCAGAACTCAAATTGAAATTATAATGGACAGCACTAGAAACCCATCAAGGTTCTGTTGCTTTCTGAAGTGCTGTTGGTCTAACACAGTGAACATGGTTAATAGAGATGAGAGCACATGAATGACCTCATTAGTGTTCTTCTTCTTTGTCCAGGAGGAAGGGTCATGACCAAGCTGTATTGATTAACTGAAGTAAGGAAAAGTGAGGTCATAGGCTTAGCTGTGTTGTCTGGCAGGAGCACCAGAATCATGATACATGCAAAATATAACTAAAAAGTAGGCATGAGTGCCAAGTTCAGTCCAAACCCTGGTCTGGACCAAATGTTGCTTGCTCAGAGGTTTGGCAAATAGGTGAATCGAATGGGTGTGTCAAGCCACTGGCTTATACAGTATTACCACTGCTGCTAAATGTGACAGCTCCCGCTCAGGGCTCCTGGTTGTTATGGAGCTGGCTTTTGCAGATGTTTAACAATTAGTTAATTTCCCCACCCTATGAAATCAGCTGTTAGCCACAGATTCCTATCTGACAAGTGAATGTAAGAAATCGGGCTGGGATGGTGTAAAAAAAAGTTATTGGGTCCTCCCCAAAATTTATACCAGACCCTTCAGATTGTAATGGGTTCCCCCACAAAAAATCCCTACCATGTTATATCAAAAAGACGGCTACAGCTTTGTTGTTTTGCAGTTCTGTGAGAGCAACCGTGGACGACCACCAAGAACCATGCCCCCCGCACGCCCCCTGGGGTGCACACTTGGTGTGCTCTGTGATCTCTGTGTCCTTTAGACACAGGTGATCATAGATTGTGGTAGATGGCCAATCACAGCAGTCCTTTACCATGTGATCAGATGTATCAAATTACACTGTAAAGAGACTTGCCGGTTATTAGCAGTCCTTTCCTCATACACTGTCACAGTGTGAGAGGAGGAGAGCCAGTAACTGGTACTTCACACAGGGAATATTTACACTGATAATCAGGGCATTGATCATCAGTGCAGCCCCATCAGTGCCTAGCAAGTCCCCATCGTGCTGCCTATTAGTGCCTCCTCATCAGTGCCCATCAGTGCTGTCTATCAGTGCCTATCAGTACAGCCTCATCAGTGCCTCCTCATCAGTGACCATCATCGCAGCCTATCAGTACCCATCAGTGAAGCCCCATCAGCACATATCAGTGAAAGAGAAAAATTACTTTTTTGCAAATGTTTAGAACAGAATATTAGAAAAATCTGCAAAATTTTATAACAGCATAAAATAAAAAAACAGTGGGGATTAAATGTCACCAAATGAAAGCTCTATCTATCTCAAAAAATGTTACAAATTTTGTTTTGGTACAGTGTTGCATGGCCACACAACTGTCATTCAAAGTGCAACAGCTCTGAAAGCTGAAAATTTACATGGGCAGGAAGGGGGTGAAAGTGCCCAGTATTGAAGTGGTTATTGGATACCCTTACATGTTTACAAAAAAGATTAAATGGTAAATAAAGACAGACCTTTTTGATTGATGCTTTAATAAAAAAAAATCCCCTAAAATATCTCATGATGTAAATCCACCATCGTTCACATAGCCCAGCAATGCAGATCCTCAGTAATCTTCATAAAGGATTATCGACCCACTGGCAGAAATAAGAAACCTGCTAACTGGCAGACATATTCCTTTCTGCTGCTCACTCATGACGAATGATGGCTCCCAGGCCAGCTTCTGAATGTAAACAAAACGGAAGGGTAGTCTCTCCATCGATAGTTATTTATTTATTAACTCAAACTTCTTTGTTTTAAATTCTCTTCTCTAGCAACAATGTATCTTTTTCTCAATTCAACAGCAGTACAGTGATTGATCACTGTGATAGTTAATCAAGGGTTATCACAGCAATCAGAAAATCCCAAACATTAGTATGAGACCTGGGGCTCTCAGTGAGAGCCCAGTCTTTGTGTTCGGAATGTGCTGTGCAGCACGTATTCATATATGTGACCTCATAGATAAAGACCCTCTTGAATGAGGCTGCATATATGTGTACAGTTAGTGAGAAGGGGTAAAAAGCACACAGGCAGGCAGGTTAACCACTTGCCCTCCAGAGGATTTACCCCCCTTCCTGACCAGGCCACTTTGTGCGTTACGTCACTGCGTTACTTTAACTGACAATTGCGTGGTCATGCAACGCTGCACCCAAATGAAATGAAATGTCCTTTTTTTTCCAACAAATAGAGATTTGTTTCGGTGGTATTTGATTTCCTGTGTGTTTTTTTATTTTTTGCACTATAAAAAAAAAGATTGACAATTTTGAGAAAAAAAACAATATTTTTGACTTTTTGCTATTAAATATGTCCAGTAAAAAAATTTTCAAAATCTAATTTCGTCATAAATTTAGGCCAAAATGTATTCTGCAACATGTCTTTGCTAAAACAAAATCCCAATATGTGTAAATTAATTGGTTTACGTGAAAGTTTTAGCATTTACAAATGGCGGTATATATACTGGGAGTTTACTTTAATTTTTTTTATTTTTACTAGTAATCGCTGTGATCAGTGACTTATAGCAGGACTGCGGCGGGCATTCTGACACTGGGGGGAACTGACTTGGTGTTATTGACATGCCCAGTGACACCAATACAGTGATCAGTGCTAATAAAAAGCACCGACACTGTACTAATGGCATTGGGCAGGAAGGGGTTAACCTCTGGGGTGATCAAAGGATTAACTGTGTGCTTTGTGCTGTTTACTGTGTGCTATGTGTGTGTGTTTCACTGTCAGCACACTGCTTTGCATGGCTCTGCTATGCAGAGCCATACAAAGCAGTGTGCAGGAGCTGACAAGTTAGAGAACTGTATTGTTTCCATTGGTAATGCTCCTTGATCACCGGGTGCCGGTGAGTAATCACCGGCCGGGACCTAGTGATTGAGAGCCAAGGCTGTGAATAGTGGCGCGTGCCCCCTACCTGGAAATACTAAATCACGTATATATACGTGATTTTGCGCACCCCTGCCACCCTGTAGTAATATATCTGCTATAGGGTGGCGGGGGGAAAGCGGTTAAAGGCATCCCCCATACATGTTATCTAAAGGAATTTTAATGTTTTTTCTTTAAGCATTATGTTTGCTTTAGAACAGCATCCAACTCCCCCAATCCTTCCCTAGAAAATGGCAGTTTGGGCTTTTTATCATGTGGCTCCCATTGACTTCAGTGTTAATATTTGTTTATTTCAACACTATATTCAGTCATTTGTCTAGAGCTCATTTTTAACACAAAACTAAGCGATGTTATACAAGTTTAAATGTATAAAGCGAGAACAAACAGAAAACAAAATAGTAATGAGCCAGAAAACCTAATCTGCAAATATGATTGCATATAAGAACAAAATTAAGGTAGAACTAAGTGTGAACATTTCTTGAAGAAACTGGGCTATTGAATTTATAAGCAAGCAAAATCTCCATGCAGCTAAACAGTAATAGTTTAAACAGAGCTGAAAAAAAAAAACAGCTCAAGATTCCATGTTGTGGAGGTTGAGCTGAGAACCACAGTTATCCCTCCCACCCATCAGAGTTTCTCACTTACTATTCTAACACTAAATAACTTATGCTCAACTGCTACAAAATAAAATGCATTTAACTTCCACACAGCTCTTTTTTTGTTGCAACTGTTGTTCTGTGGTTTGGTATGTTTGCACCTACATAAAAGAGAGGAACATGCCTTGTTTCAATGGCAAATGCAAGCTATGGGAATTGAAGGAGAGCAGCAGTACCTGTCAGCAACCTGGGACACAGTATGGACCATCTTTCTATCCTTAATGAAGTCTTTCAATCTAATCAGAGTACTTCATGCATCAAATTCATTCTGTGTCACTGGTAGTCACAACACAGAAAACCTCAAAACCTGGTACTCAATATGGTAACAAAAACCTTGTATTGAAAGAAATAAGGACGCTTCCATAGCTAGCCTTCCTCTGAAAATACAAGTTGTTCGGTTGTATGCCTTTTCAATTTTCAATTTCTAGTCTGCAAACTGGTTCCAGTTAGGCAGCTCAGAAGGTACTAGCTGAGAATGCCAGCTCCACAAGTAGCATTTTCAAAAGGAGAAATCAGAATGACAGTCTTCAGGTGCAGGTTTCCTTCAACTGAAAGTCCACAGATCTTTAGTTAGACCTTATTTAGAATACTGTGTCCAGTTCTGGAGACTCCACTTACAAAAAGATATTGATAAGATAAAACAAGTACAGTGATGGGTAACAAAAATGGTAAAAGGCAGCACAGTGGCTAAATGGTTAGCACTTCCGCCTGGCAGTACTAGGGTTGTTGGCTTGAATCCCAGCCACGGCACCACCTACCTGGAGTTTGCATGGTCTGCGTGGGTTTCCTCTGGGAACTCCGGTTTCCTGCTACACACCAAAGACATGCTGGTAGGTTAATTGGATCCTGTCAAAAATAAGCCCTAGTATGTATGAATGTAAGTTAGGGACCTTAGATTGTACACCCCTTGGGGGTTAGGGATTGATGTGAATGTACACTATATATGTAAAGCTCTGTGTAAATTGATGGCACTAAGTACCTGTAATAATAATAATAAAAGGTCTGGGGGATAAAACACATCAAGAGTGACTTCAGGAACTTAACATGTACAGTCTGGAGGAAAGAAGGAAAAGTGGAGACATAACTGAAACCTTTAAATACATCAAGGGGTGAATAAGGTTTAGGAGGGCAGTATTTTGAACATAAAATCAAAATAAAGAAAACGTTGACATGACCTTAAACTAACTGGAGGAAAGTTCAAAACTAATCTCAGAAAGTATTATTTTACTGAAAGAGTAGTTGATGTTTGGAATAATCTTCCAGCAGAGGTAGTGAGCCAATCAACAGCAAATAGCTTCAAACATGCTTGGGACAAGCATAGATCTATACTCAAACAAAAAAGTTAAAAAAAAACAAACAAAAAAAAAAACGGGCAGACTCAATGGACCACTCAGTCTTTTTTTTGCCATCACTTTTCTATGTTTCACTTTCCATATCTGTTTTATGGATTTGATGGCTGTATAAAAGCAAAGGAAACATATGTTAGATGACATCTTGCGTTTGGTGGTTGTAGACAATAACTCACTAATAAACATAGTTATGGATGAACTTCAGGTTTGAGTCAAAAACAACTTTGACTCAAACTCTAGTTTTTCTCAGTTTGAGAAAATGGCTAACTATTGCAATCATTTGCTCTCATAGCAACCACTGCTAATCATGCACTTTCAGGCCTCTAAACTCTGGTCAGGAGGCTTGAAGGGCCAATAATATGGGTTTTCCAATGTGTCAGCCCCCTTCCTATGAAAGCCAGGGTTCCTATAAGTCTCTCATTTTGTGTGGCAACAGATTTGCAGCAGTGTGGGAATGCTCACAGAAGACAGGGATGCGGGTGCTCGGTGCTCATTGGCCAAAAAAATTTATTTTTTTAATGCTTAAATGCAGTCAAAGACAAACAATGAGGGGAATTTATCAAAATTGGAGCATGGCAACCAATCAGCTTCTATCTTCAACTCGTTCTGCTTTTAAAATGAAAGCTAGAAACTGATTAGTTGTCATGCACAGCTGCTCCAGATTCTGGCTGCTCCAGTTTTCATAAATTCCCCTCAGGGTGTTCGACAATTGTTTAGCAGATTAGAGGGAGATGTGAGTGTTTAGTGACTGCAAGCATACTCACTAAAATATTTTGGGTTCTTTCCTGTCAGTCACATAAATGTACTGAAATTTATTTATTTATTTTTTTTATTGAAATCTGTCAGTTGTGAGTCTTGTTAACAAAGTGGTTTAGCTGTTGTTTGTACATACCATACACATTCCCATACACTTTAATTCTGATTCATAATTAAAAACTGGCAATAAACGATAGCGCAAAGTTAATTTCTAAAAAGTGATGTTCATGGTCCTATTCAAATTTGGCCTTGAGCACACATAAATTAAATCTGCGAATATGCTCACTACAGTATTTTGGGTATTTTCTCTCAAAATTAATACTGCAATGTTGATTTCTACATTTAAACAGAGCTTTTGATAGTTATATTCAGATTGGGGATTAATATTAATAATACAGGGAACATACACACTACACTATTTTAAGTGTGTTTTTTTCAGTTTTACTGTTTGTGCATTCTTTGTGTGTCATGTTTCTTTGTGCATTCAAAAGTGGCTGAACATACTCACTACAAGTATTTGGGGAGGTTTTTCTGAGAATGAATGATGATGTAATGATTTCTACTTTTATGATAAGGCTATTGGTGGTCCTGTTCACATTGGGGCTTAAATGCAATTTAATTAATGCTGGGAATGTACATGCTACAATATTTGGTGTGTTTTTCTCAGAATAAATCATATTTTAATGTAGATCTGTACATTAAAACATTGGCTGCAGGGTTTCCTATTCAAATTTGATTTGGGCGTGAACTATTTAAATCTGGGAATAAACTTTCTAAAATATTTTTTTTTTTTTCTGAATGTGGACACAAAAATATATTGGGGCAATTTTTCTATTACTTGTACACTCTAATGTTTATGTCTATTTTTTGCAATAGATTGCCTGCTTTAAATCAGGTCAAATAAAATTTATCAAATACTGGGCACAAAATATTCAGGGAATTTATTGCACAGTAATGTTTATTTTTTTTTTATGAGGCAATAGCTGGTGGGGATCCTGTACATAATGTGGTCTAGTACAAATACGTTTTTTAGTGTGCACGTAGGCACTTTACCTGTTCTTGTCCTTTTTGTTCAGTGAAATCAAGATATTATAATTTTGTGACATTTTGATTAAACTGGTTGGTATGTGCCCTGTTCAAAATTCAGCTTTGTGAAACTGCCTGATGTAATTAGGATCAAAACAATAGTTTGTTTTTTTTAAATCTAAATAAATATACTCTACTGTTCTAAAATCTGTAGGTGTTTCTCTTGTTTAAAATGTGGCTTGGTAATAGTACTTAAAAACCATGCATGGGATCACTACAATATGTATGCCTGTATGCCTTTTTCTGTGAAATAGCACAGTATAGTTTTAATCTTTTTTGCATGAATCCTCCTTGGTCACTCTTTCTGAAACCATGGCCTAGTAAAGCTCTATACTGAATATGGTCTGAGTTAAATCTATATACAGTTATTTCCGTATATACTTGGACACAGGCACAATTTTCATACTTTTGGCTCTGTATGCCACCGGAAATAAATTAAAATGAAACAATCCAAATGAATTTGAAATGCAGACTTTCAGGTTTAATTCAAGGGATTGAATGAAAATATCAAGTACAAATTTTAAGAACTACAACCATTTTTATACACAGTCCCTCCATTTTCAGGGGCTCAAATGTAATTGGAAAAATTAATATAATCATAAATAAAATGTTAATTTTTAATATTTTGTTGAGAATCCTTTACTGGCAATGACTGCCTGAAGTCTGGAACCTATGGACATTACCAAAGACTGAGTTTCCTACTTTCTGATGCTTTGCCAGGCTCTAACTGCAGCTGTCTTCAGTGGTTCTTTGTTTGTGGGTCTTTCTGCCTTTAGTTTTGCCTTCAGCAAGTGAAATACATGCTCAATTGGGTTGAGATCAGGCAATTGATTCGACCATTGCAGAATATCACACTTCTTTTCCTTCAAAAGCTCCTGGGTTGCGTTTGCAGTGTGTTTTGGATCATTGTCCATCTCTACTGTGAATAGTGTGCCATCCAATCTACTTTGCTGCATTTGGGCTGACATTATATCTCTAAACACTGCCGAATTCATCTGGCTACATCTGTCTTCTGTCACATCAATAATAAACACCAATGACCCAGTGTCACTGGAAGCC